GTCTTGATGCTGTTGAACAACAAAATGTTTAAAAATGTCGCGAGTTTACCTGGTGATATTCTCATGCGCCACGCGATTGCGAAAACAGCAAACAATTAACACCACGCCGATGTTGTTCACAGGACACAGAGTAAACGATTGGGAGACTCTTGTCGTCATTATTGTTCCCCTCCTACGTTTTATTACTCCGATTTCAGCGTTTTTGCTTCACAACTACAGCGTGCAGTTTTACTTTGTGTGCACTAACGTGGACTCGAATCAACCAGCAGCACCTCTGGCCACTTGACTTCTCCTCAGCAGCTGCCAAAAAAAAATGCGCTAGATGAAAACAGAAACACACCGTCTGCAGTGAAAGGCAAAAGGAGCCGTCCGCAAAAAAGGCAAATTCCACTTGCTACTCTGGAGTTGTCACCGATAAGCTACTCCATAAACAGAACACAGTTCTGCTGCATCACACATTAGGATGTTTGTTCTAATTTTCTATGACCTCGGCGCATTGAAAATAAAATTAAAAGCCAACAAAGAGCAATATGAATTTCTTTAGAACTTACCAGAATAAAAATGTCGGGAGCACACCAACAAAAATACTGGTGGCAGAGAACTCGATATCAGCTCGTCTCACCGCTGCTATCCAAGCCTGACGTCTTCGTCTGGTAACATAAGATACATGAAATCCCTCGCGTTGCTTCCAGGAGGGGAAACGATAAAAAGAGAGCCCATTTTCTAGCGTATTCCCTTCCCGATCGTGAGATCTAAAACTGCATCTGACAACACGGCAAGTACGAGCCATAGCTGATGTTTCCGTGTGCTTTAGCTCTTGTAGCCCTTTGTTTGGCCTACTAAGATGGCGGCTCGACCAAAAATCGTGACCACGCCCCTCCCGTGACATCACACACTAATCAGGAAATCAGCTCAGGTGCTTTGAATAAATTAACTAAAATAAGGCCAGTCTCAACAGCCTGTACTACTGTGTTGAGTGAGTGTTAGAAAACTACTAGATAAACTTTCCTTTATCATGAGAAATCTGGGTTCATCAGTCTGAGCAGACTGTCAGCAGATTTAGCTCCAACAAGTCAGAAGTATGTTATTCACTACTAACGTTTCAACTTGTTGCTATGAATTAAACTGACTTTCTCATCATTCAAGCCACCCAAAATTGACAGTCTTGCCTGTGTTGCTCGGGATAAAACATCCCATCGTGCAAATACAAAAGAGAGTAGTTGAATTCAGTTTATTTATTATTTATATAGCGCTAAATCACCACAGAGAGAGTTTTATACTGTAACCCTAGAGTTAGACAGAGGGAAGGAAAAACTTACCAGCTAGAGGTGGCAAGCGGGCCGCGAACATAAACGATAGTGGAAATTCTGAATAAGAGGATGTAGCGAACCGAATAACCAAGGA